ATTTATCAAAAACATGTACAGCGTAGCTCGATATAATATAAGTAAAAGGAAATGAGCGCAACAAATTATGTAAAAACCTGAAGACAAAAAAAAAGGACGCAACAAAAACACCAAGGATCGTGTCGGCAAGAAGACTTATTAGCAAACAAAGAACAGCACACACATTCTAAACTTAATAAAAATGGATACTAAGCCGCAATGTAGTATCCGAGAAGACAACAAGAGGAACACGATAAAAATAAGATCTTAGTAGGTTAGAGAGTTTATACAGGCAAAATGGGGCAGAAGAGAGGAAAAGTACGTTCTCTGCGTTTGGTCGCAACAAGGGGAGGAGCAGAGAGAATCTTTAACAAGTGAATGAGAGCATAACATCCATGCCATGTGATGTCATTGTCTCATTAGTCTTACCAGTTCATTGCATTTCACCCAGTGTATCGGCGTCGCAGTGTATTGTCCAAGCAACGGTTGTAGGAGCGGTGATGGACACTCAATACGTCGTGCGCCTCAGTTCGTACTTGCTGCCGAAATACAATGCACACGTTAACATTGAAGTTTGTACGTCTGTGGACGCAATCAAATACATATACAAGTACATCTTCAAAGAATTTGATTGCGCCAACATCACAATCAGATCAGACGGCCTACAGATGGACGCTCGATATATTAGTGCACCAGAAGCAACGAGCAGTCTGGAAAACGCCACAAAGAGGAAGAAGAGGTACAAGTCTATCGCACATTTACGCCATGAGCTTCCATGACGAAGAACGATTTTGTCTGCAGCTGCTGATCCTTCATGTGCGTGGAGCAACACGTTTTGAATCGATACGAACGTCCAACAGAACGGTTCATCCAACAATCAAAGAAGTGTTAGCACTTATTGGGTTCTGTCGAGAAGTGGGGCCACTGCTTACAGGAAAACTTCTACCGATCAACGTGCGGTTAAATCTGTTGTTTCTGTCAACGATTCAACCAGTTGAGCTGTGGAATAAATTTGTCATCGACAACATGGATTGTCTTCCGCGGAAGATGACAGATCGTCCTGCCATTTGCCACGGCAGGAACCGCTTGAGTACTTTTGGATCCAGCTTCCGGTTCCGTTGAGTGGTACTTTCATCACTGATACCAAATTCTACTGACGCTGAAGGTCTATACCAAGCATCGCGCATCATCATCGATGAATCCACAATGTTGCAAAAGCATTGGCTCCGATGAAGCTATGAGCTTCTTGTCGAGTTCATGACACAATCTATTCCCGTTGTTTTAAGAGGCACACGAGCCGACTTTATCGATTACTGTATCAAGTCAAGTAATTTTTGGAGAAACTTCATACAGCTGACATGGACGACAAACATGCGCAGTGAAGATAAAATAGATCACAATAACTTGCTTTTTTTCTGGTCGGAACTAGAAATCTGGAGCTAGTTTCAGGAATATGCTACGAAGAGACAACCGCGATTCCTCAACAAATGATCTGATCATATTTACCTTTGGATCGGATATTCATAAGATATCTGTCGAAGTGTTAACGAAACGAGTAATTGTTGCTCCGACCAATGAACACTCGCCTGAAATGATCAACAAGGTCATTGGACCGCAGCCTGTTGATTCAGTCATTTATTGCAGTGAATGTTTGGTCGTTTTAAAAGTTCTAAATGAAATATCCAGCGAATTTCTCATCGAACTTCAGGAATGCCTCCTCATATTCTGATACTGAAGAGAGGTGTAATCATTATAGTGCTGAGAAATCTCAAACCAAAGAAGGGATTGTGAAACTTGATTTAAGTGATTCTAAAGGACCTTGATTGCAATTCATCACTGTAGAAATGATATCAGAATGCAATCCTGGTGACACTTTTTTCATCCCATGAATTGACTTGGCGTTAGCGACTCTACTCTATCCTTCAATCTGCGGGATTGACGACATCCTATCATTCCGGCTTATGCAATTCAATCAAGAAATCTCAGGGACAGACATCATTACAGTAGCCTTGAGCTTGGCATATCTATGTCCAGACCATCAACAAACTGAGAACAGCCTTATGTCAACAGCATCAAAGAGTGTAGCCCATCATTATGTCCATTCAATCAAAGAGCTTGGCATATTATTATGTACAGACCATCAACATGCTTTGCACATCATTATTTCAAGTCAATTAAAGAGCTTAGCACAAGATTAATGCATTCCGTCTTTTAGATCAGCCACCATCGAAGATTGATGAGTACTGTCTGTTTGATGAGCCACCATCCAAGGTTGATGAGTTCCGTCTTTTAGATGAGCCACCTTCCAAGGTTGATGAGTTCCGTCTTTTAGATAAGCCACCATCCAAGTTTGATGAGTTCCGTCTTTTAGATGAGGCACCATCCATGGTTGATGAGTTCCATCTTTTTGATGAGCTTCCATCCAAGGTTTATGAGTGCCGTCTGTTAGAAGAGCCACCCTCCAAGATTGATTAGTTTCGTGTTTTAGATGAGCCACCATCCACGATTGATGATTGCCTTCTTTTAGATGAGCCACCATCATATATTGATGAGTGCCGTCTGTTAGATGAGCCACCATCCAAAGTTAATGAATGCCATCTCTTAGATGAGCCACCATCCAGGGTTTATGAGTGCCATCTGTTAGATGAGCCACCATCCACGATTGATTAGTGCCATCTGTTTGATGAACTACCATCCACGTTTTTTGAGTGCCGTCTCTTAGATGAGCAACCATCCAAGGTTTATGAGTGCCATCTGTTAGATGAACCACCATCCAAGATTGATTAGTGACGTCTTTTAGATGAGCAACCATCCACGATTGACGCGTGCCGTCTGTTAGATGAGCCACCATCCAAGTTTGATCAGTTCCGTCTCTTAGATGAGCCACAATCCAAGATTGATGCAAGCCGTCTCTTAGATGAGCCACCATCCAATATTGATGAGTGCCATCTTTGAGATGAGCCACCATCCAAGATTGATGCGTGCCGTCTTTTATATGAGTTTTCATCCAAAATTGATGAGTTCCGTCTTTTAGATAAGCCACCATCCAAGATTGATGAGTGCCGTCTTTTAGATGAGCCACCATCCAAGATTGATGAGTGCCGTCTTTTATATGAGCCACCATCCAAGATTTATGAGTTCCGCCTTTTAGATGAGCCACCATCCAAGATTGAAGCATGGTGTCTTTTAGATGAGCCACAATCCAAGATTGAACCATGCCGTCTGTTAGATGAGCCACAAACCAAAATTGAAGCATGCCGTCTGTTAGATGAGCCACCATCCAAGATTGATGCAAGCCGTCTCTTAGATGAGCCACCATCCAATATTGATGAGTGCAATCTTTGAGATGAGCCACCATCCAAGATTGATGAGTGTCGTCGTTTAGATGAGCCACCATCCAAGGTTGATGAGTTCTGTTTTTTAGATGAGCCACCATCTAAGATTGATGAGTGCCGTCTTTTAGATGAACCACCATCCAAGGTTGATGAGTGCTGTCTGTTAGATGACCCACCATCCAGGATTGTTTAGTGCCCTCTGTTAGATGAGCCACCATCCAAGATTGATAAGTGCCGTATTTAGACGAGCCACTATCCAAAATTGATGAGTGCCGTCTGTTAGATGAGCCTCTATCCAAGATTGAAGCGTGCTGTCTCTTAGATGAGCCACTATCCAATGTTGATGCGATCAGTCTACTCGGAATGCCAGGTCTTTAAACCCATGCTCAAATGTTTGACTAAAACAAAGACTTGACAGCTCACACCAGTCTTATCTACTGCTGAATGTCTTAAACCAACGAATAAGGACATGTTCGTCAATCAAGTACAAGCACGCCCATCAGAAAATAACTGTCAATAATCACAAGCATTTAAAAAAAAAAAGGCGCCACACAATTCACTCAGCACCCTGGCATGCCACCACTTAACACCCCTTCCCCCACTTCAGCAGACTATTCAAATCTAAGGGGTAAAAAAACAAATATGAAAAAACTAAGGACACAATTGCGACTTAAGAACAAGCAAATACAAAAAAAGCTACGTAAGATGTGGTAGGTGATGCCTGAAAAAAAAACCAATCATATATATTTTTTCACCAATGATAACAATCATTTTTTTTATCTTTAAATGTCAACAATTTCTATACGGTAAATACTTTAATGGAACAAGAGATCCTCCAAGGAAGATGGGGCTGGATTACCCATACACTCAGGAAACCTGCCTCCAGCATAACTAGACAAGTCCTGAACTGGAACCCTCAAGGAAAACGGGAAATAGGCAGGCCGAGGAACACTTGGCGCCGTGAAGTGGAAGCAGATACCAAGAAAATTGGCCACACTTGGGGAAAGCTGGAGAGATTGGCTCAGGATCGTGATGCTTGGAGGACTCTTGTAGGTGGCCTGTGTCCTGGAGAACTCTTGTAGGCGGCCTATGTCCTTGGAAGAATCACAGACGTCGTTGAAGACCGGCTCCTGTTCCCCAAGGACAAAGAGGCAAAAGAAGAAGAAAGACTTTGTGTCACAATAAATAAACGTAATATCTTTCATATAAAAATAAAAAAAATATTAAAAAAACGAATTTTGAAAAAAAGTAATTGTACATTTATATATAATTATGTTTAATAAACGAGACCATCATTATTGGATTAGAAGAAGTTTACCAATCAATTTGTATGTCGAGTGTGTCATTTTGTAAACGGTAAATTAATATAATGCAGTTTAATTTCAATGCGAGTACTTGCTTGTGGGATAAAATACTAGTACTACCAGTAGCATATAATAATGATGATTGAGTAATCACCCTAATCGCACCCAATAAACTTATAGATTTAATCATGATCATCTCATCTAACTTTAACTATTAAATTCCTATCAGCCTATATAATGTTTTCATAGAGAACATTTTTAGAGACGGCACAAACAATATTTTGTATACATTTGTTCACTAAAAATTAATATCTAGTGTAGAATCAACAGGCAAGATTATCTATGTGAGTTGCTCTGGACTTATTTTGGTGACTAGTTCGTTGCTTATTTATGATGGACCGGGCAGTCTCTATCAGCCCTTTGGACAAGATACTTCCGAGACGGCCAGTGGACCAGGTACTGCCCTTACGATCGGAGCAAGGCATTATCTCGGATGAGCTGCAACATTATCTGAGCCTCTACTTTGTAGGCATTTGGTGCTCACTTGTCTCCCTTGTTGGTTACGTCACCAACATCATCAACATAGTGGTTTTCATCAGGTGCTGTAAGACTTCGTATTTTATCTTTTAAAGTACAATTGAAATGTAAGATGGGGTAATTGAATAGCGGCATTCAGTAGAGTCAAAAAGAGCGTTTGATCTGACTAAGATGTAACCAGCGCCAGATGGAGAATGTTGGAATGAAATGTGTGGATTTTATGTGCACACGACTGTGTCCTATATCTTGTACTATTAGTATTATTCTCAGGTGTTCTTATATGAAGATGAACAAGGACGAGGTTAAGACGAGGTTATTTTGTTTTAAAGGGAGGAAAAATTGCGCAATTCGTCAGGCTCACTATCTCGTCTTTTCCTAGTTTGATCCAATGACAAGACACGGATGAGCAATGGCAAGACTTTGTCAAGACGACTGGGAGATGGGCCAGGATGGAGTGGATGACCAAACGCAAGACTTTTTCAAGACGACTGGGCGATGGTCCAGGGTCCAGTGGATGACCAATGGCATGACTTAGTCAAGACGACTGGGAGATGATCCATGTTGCAGTGGATGATAGCAATGTTTCCTGAGTCTCACTGCGATCTTAATGGGTTCCGCGTCGCAGTAGTTGCCGGAATTTTTATTGGCTGTCTGGCTGTGCGGTCAAAACATGCCTATTCCAAAATTGTGGATTGTGTTCAATGCCCAGCAAAAACATCTCCAACACTCCATTAAAGAGATGGCATCAACAGGATTTATTTAAATAAAACGTTGAACTTCAATCATACAAGCAACGGAAACTCTTCAAATACCACCACAATGTCCACGAGAAAGATCTCTAGCTGTCTCTGGTCTTGTAGATTTTGGCATGTGAATAAGCAGGAAGTAAAGGTTCGGGAATGCCATAAGACCACGATTAGAACATACCCAAATAAGAACCATGACGAGGACACCCAACAACGAGAAAATACTTATTGCCACAAGAAATAATCTACTTTGGAAAAGACTTCACACATAAATCTTGTTCTTATTATTATTATTTTTATTGCCCCTTAGGAAAACAAAATAGTTACATACATTTAACATTTAACCATTAAACAAATTCATGAAAATTTCCCTTTCCTTGGAATTGGAATTTTTTTTTTTGCATTGCATTTACAAATAGTTTATAGTATAGCGTATATTTAAATCTGTGTTTACCAATTATGGCAATTGAACTCATTTCATCGAACTTTTCAGACAAGGCCTACAAGGCAGTGCAATCATCTAACTATTCTGACTCTCAATTTAAGACAAGGCCTATAAGACAGTGCAACCATCTCAATATTATCCCTCTCCATTTAAGACAAGGCCTACAAGACAGTGAAACCATCTCACTATTATCAGTCTTCATTTAAGACACGTCCTGCAAGACAGTGCAACAATCTCACTATTATTCCTCTCCATTTCAGACAAGGGCTACAAGACAGTACAACCATCTCACTATTCTCACTCTCCATTTCTGACTTGGGCTCAAACATTTGTACTTTCTTCCTCGGAATCTTCCTTGTCATCAAAGAGATGAACATTTTAGTGGAGGTAAGACTGACACATCTTCAGGTCTCTGAGTGTTACATTCTCTTTGATGTCACCAGAATTGTCAACATTTTCTCCAATCTCAGAACAATCTTTAGATTAAGTAATGTGCAATCTGTTGATTTCTTTAGATTAAGTAATGTGCAATCTATTGATTTCATTAGATTAAGTAATGTGGAATCTGTTGATTTCCTTAGATTAAGTAATGTGCAATCTGTTGATTTCATTAGATTAAGTAAAGTGCAATCTGTTGATTTTCTTTAGATTAAGTAATAATAATAATAATAATAATAATAACGTTTATTTGAAAAACACGCTTCATCCACAAAAGCTCGAAGCGGGGTACAATGTCAACCATATTAAAAAGAGATATAAAAACAATCTAAAATTTACCACATTTAAAAACAGACGCAACAATATAAAACTACATACGAGCATACCCAGTCAAAGTCTTTCATCTCGTTTCAACCATAAGCAACACAAGCCAATATACATTAACTGAAAAAGATGGTAGATAGCATCACCCCAGAAGGTGTTTGCAAAATAGATGTGTTTTTTTATCGGTTTTAAATGAGTCCAGTGTTTGGCTGTTTCTGAGAGCGACTGGAAGGGCGTTCCAAAGTAATGTGCAATTTGTTGATTTCATTAGACTAACTAATGTGCAATCTGTTTATTACTTTGGTTTAATTAGTGGCGTTCAGTCTGTTGATTAAATTTAGTATCATCGATTTAATCAGAGTAAATTAAACATTTAACCAAGATAAATTTAAGCAAGTCCGAAACTGACAGCCAGTGATTAGGGATGTTGAATCTTTATTAATTAATTGATGTGACCTTTGTTTGTATCTGTACAAAACATTCAAATATGGTAGTCATTAAAATCTTCTGGCCATATTATTTTGAAACTTTAGAGGATTTTTAGATTTTTATTGTTATTTTTGAATAATGGAAACAAAACAAATGTCATCCCTTGATTATCTCCTCAGATTGTTGACTGGCAGGACCTGAGTTATGTCGCGTGCTGCTGGCCTAGGGCAATGTTCATTGACATTTCTATGCTCACAACTGTCTTCATCTCCACCGAGAGGTGCCTCTGTGTCATCCTGCCATTTAAGGTCAAAGGTGAACTGATTTTAAATATGGAACAGCCTCGATTCCAATACTTCATTCATGATTGGTCAAAATGGTATTGCTGTAAAGTTTACAGTGTAAACTCTTAATAACTGGGAGACATTTTGTCAGGCTTGAACATTTCGATTATAAATAATTGGACTATAAATAATTGGACTATAAATAATTGAAATAACTTTATAGCACCAGTTTTAGGGATGTTTTCTACACATTTTTATAATTCTCCAAAAAAGTCTCATTAAAAAAAAATAATTGCCTTAATTTTGAGATTTCTAGAAAAAAAATGCTTTAAGTGAATTGCATTTCTTAGATCTGTTTTTTTTTTATATGCTGGAAATGAACCATACTTTGTAGGCAGAGCAGAGTCACATGTTTTACATAAATAACGGGAAATTATCACATCTAAACACACAAAAATCTCTAAAAAATAATTCAATCCCTTCTGGTAAGTTACAATTTTGAGCCATTGAAACAAATTAATCAGGTAATTATGAGTGTGGCTCGTTATTGCAATTTTTGTAATTAGACATTTTTGAAGTCCATATAATATGTTGTTAAAACAATTTTCTACCTTTGCTACTAAACGACTGCAAAATGGCTTATCACTAATAATCTTATAAAAAGTTAAAGTCATAATAAAAGTTATACTATTATAAATGTAACGTTTTCTATTCCCAGGCCTTATTACAGTTTCCAGGGCCGCCAAGATATTGATCACCATTTACCTGTTCCAATTTTCCTGCTACATGCCCGTCTTTGTGACCAACGGGCTGTCATGGCAACACACCATGATGTACACAACGAATCAATCCACAAGTAACCTGAAACTAGACATATGGTTCGCACCAGGTCGTGTCCAGATTGAGACCGTCAGTAACATATTTAACAGCATATCTATCCCAACCATCTCCTTTATCACTGTGGTAGCCTGTACGTACGTCCTCATCCAAGCTTTAAGGAGATCAGCCCACTTTAGATTACATGCTGCAGCTTCTCATACCTCTGCTGGAGACACTTCCCAAAGGAACGCTTTGAAAGAGAGAAATTTGGAGAACGGAAGAGAAACAAGGCCAGCTGCAGGCCTAGAGACTTACGAGTCCAAGGACAAAGGATATATTTTATCAAGCAAAGACAGAAAGGTGGCGAAAGTGGTGACTTTTGTGGCTGTGGTTTTTATCTTGTGCAGCATGCCCCAGTTGATGGTCGTTTATGGTAGAAGGTTTCTCCCTGACCTCGACGTCAATGGACGATATGAGAATTTCATGTGGACGGCGTTTGGGACTGGGTACATCATCGGTGGTATCAATGCTTGCATCAATATGTTTATTTATCTCAATTCCAGCTCTAGGTATAAGACAGTGTTTAATGAGATCTTCTGTCACGGGGATACTTAAAGTAGTCCCTAAATCTCAGCCTTTTTCCTCAAGTCTTATGAAAGAATGAAGTCATCTCTACATCTCAGCCGTTTTCCTCAAATCTTATGAAAAGATGATCTGGAATCTTCTCTGAAATTCAATTATTTGTTCTTACAGCTAGTAATAACTTACTGCATGCTTATCTATGATATCTCAATACTGAGGGCAAAGCTTAAATCTGAAGAACATGATTAAATGTTTTGCATTCTGAACGTTTGCTGTTTTTAAATGTATAAAGTACTGATCAATGTTGCAATTCATTTCATTAAAAAACACTTCGAGAAATAAATATTTTGTATTTGCTTCATGTTTAAATCCTTTTTATATTTGAAAACACCCAATCAAAAGAAACACATTTACTTGTAAGGAATAAACACATTTAGACTTTTCCATAAGTATAATTTATTGCCGTTAATGGTTTCTTCCAAAAGTGGCTATGACAGGTTTATCTTTCAACTTGTATCCATTGACTAATTTTATGGCTTCTCCTGCTGTCACCTGGTCTGAGAAAGAAAGATTCACAAGAACATTATCAGGATAAGATAGGATTCTTTTATTGATCCAAATAAATGGAAGTGCTTTTTTGATAACATGGTCGATATTCATTTTTAGGGCATAGATAAATAGTGTTAAAAAAATATATATTTTTAAACTAAAAAAATGTTGACATCAACATCAAAATGTCTCTCAAGCGCAAAAGTCAGCCATGAAGTATAAAAAACTTCTTTCAGTGACAATATTGACTGAAAGAGTGATTGTTTAATTTTGTAACAGCCGGGAGCACGCTGGTAAATTCTGAAAGATTGGGAAACAGATGCATTTTTATATCATTCTGTTCTAATTTTGAGGATAAGACATATTGTTGGCCATTTATTAAAAACTACAGAATCCACGCTTGATTATTAGAAGTTATACCTAACGTGGAAAGCTTTTGAATCATTAGTTGTGGCTGGATATTGCTAAATGGTGATGAAAAGTGTAAGAAAATCACCCTAACATACTTTTTTTTTTAGCTCTTTCAAAGTCTTTCTACCAATATTTAGATGCCACCCTATTTATGTCTAGCAGATGAGCAAATGGTGGAAGTCAAGTTTTTTAGATACTTCATTTAAAATTTGACTTAGGATAAGTTTCTCAAAAGATTTACATTTCATTACCATAGAGGTAAGTGCAATAGGACGTAAGGCGTTATTGCTCGTGACTTTATTATTTTTTTTTTGGATTTGGTATATCTTATGTGTACATATTCAAGACCTGTGGACTACCGGTTAATTTCGGAGTAGTTTTCAGCTCTCAAAAACGTAGTAATTTTGAAAAAAAATTAAAGACCATTTATTTAAAATACCCTGTGTTTTTCAAATTCTTTGGCGAAATAAGATATCTACAATTTTTAGAAATTTACAACCACACAGGCAATAATTAGTTTATGCGTTTACTTTAGAAGCAGTGTAAGTAATAATGTGTTAGACAACTGCAACTTATTTTAAAATAAATCTGCATTTAAAAAAACTTATTGGTTGGAACCATCTTAACAGAAAAATACAAGATTTTAGAAATAATTTCGTGTCAGCGTGAATTTATTGCCAATTAGATGCACCAACTGTCGTGATCTGTAATAACACGAACTGAACACAAGGTCTTTTTCCAAGAGCAATGTAATCTTTAATCCAGAAACATATATATCAATTAATCAAAAACATGTAAAGCGTAGCGCGATATTTATTTATTTATTTATTTAGGCATTTTTATATAGCGCTTACCTTAAAGCTCTAAGCGCTTTACAATTATTAAAAACATGTAAACTAACTACAATAAAAATGAGACATTAGGATAGTAACTACTATACTATAGAAACAATTAAAATGACTATAAAGCGAGGACTCTTTGGCACGTTTTGGCCTATATTACAGGATTAACCCGAGACAGAAAATGAGGCATGGCAAGGAGGGTGCATCACAGGTCATAGGCGGACCTAAACAGATGGGTTTTAAGGGACTTTTTAAAAGTGGACGAGGTTTCACAATGACGGATATGGAAGGGGAGCTGGTTCCAGAACATGGGCCCATGGAAGTAGAAGGAGCGTTCACCGATGGTCTTAGTTTTGGTTCTTGGGAGCGAAACAAAATATTTGAAAAATGGAGAAAAAAAAAAAGGATGTGTCGACAAGAAGCCTTTCTTAGCAAACAAATAATATTTCAAGCATTCTGAAATTTAAGAAATGGACCCTAAGCCGCAATGTAAAAAACACACTGACTGGTTAGGACCATTTAAACAGATAAATACAAACACTTTGAGTTTTAGAAACAATTGCGTGTCAGCGTGAGTTCATTGCCAATTAGATTCACCTACTATCGCGATCTGTAATAACACCGAAATAAAAACAGGTCAATTAATCAAAAACATGTACAGCGTAGCTCGATATAAGGTAAAGGAAATGAGCGAAACAAATTATGTAAAAACCTGAAGACAAAAAAAAAAGGACGCAACAAAAACAACAATGAACGTGTCGGCAAGAAGACTTATTAGCAAACAAAGAACAGTACAAACATTCTAAACTTAATAAAAATGGGTACTAAGCCGCAATGTAGTATCCGAAAAGAAACAAGAGGAACACGATAAAAATAAAATCTAAGTAGGTGAGAGAGTTTATACAGGCAAAATGGGGCAGAAGAGAGGAAAAGTACGTTCACTGCGATTGGTTGGGGAGGAGCGGAGAGAATGTTTAACAAGTAAAGGAGAATATGATATACATGCTATGTGGTGTCATTGTCTGATTAGTCTGACCAAAGCAGTTCATTGATACGTGAAACCCGAATGTCGAGGTTTACCCAGTGTATTGTCCAAGCAACGGTTGTAGGAGCGGTGATGGACACTCAATATGTTGTGCGCCTCAGTTCGTACATGCTGCCGAAATACAATGCGCACGTTAACATTGAAATTTGTACGGCTGTGAACGAAATTAAATACATATAAAAATACAACTTCAAAGAATTTGATTGCACCAACGTCGCCATCAGATCAGACGGCCACCAGATGGACGCTCGACATGTTAGTGTAGCAGAAGCAACATGACGACTTCTTGGATCGTTCGCACGCGATGCTGGGACTCCCCGGTCACCTGCAGAATAAACATCGCATCACATTCAAGGATAAGAAACTGTGTTGACAGCACAAACTGGCCGAACAATATTTGAGTCATGGTTGGAGCTGAACAAAACTGACGAAGAAGCACGGCAGTACATTTATATAGACATCTCATACAATTACATCTACCAATACCAACGACCAGTCTGGAAACTGCCACAAAGAGGAGGAAGAGGTACAACACTACCGCACATGTACGCCGTGAGCTTCCATGACGAAGAACGATTTTGTCTGCACCTGATGATCCTTCATGTGCGTGGAGCAACTCGTTTTGAATCGATACGAACGTTCAACAGAACGGTTCATCCAACAATCAAAGAAGTGTTAGCACTTCTTGGGTTCTGTCGAGGAGTGGGACCACTGCTTACAGGAAACTTCTACCTATCAACGTGCGGTTAAATTTTTTGTTTCTGTCAACCAGCCAAACAACCAATTGAGCTGAGAAATCAATTTGTCATCGACAACATGGATTGTCTTACGCACAAATCGGTCTTCGCAAATGACCAGCCTAGTCAAAGAAACGCAGCACTACGATCCAGTTGAAGAAGCACGCGAAGACGAAGAACGATCATCTGGGATCCACACAAACATGCACAGTGAAGGTGAACGCGATCACAATAATTTGCTTTTTCTGGTCGGAACTAGAAATCTGGAGCTAGTTCCAGGAATATGCTACGAAGAGACAACTGAGATTCCTCAACAAATGATCGCTCTCCATTGTTCTCAGCATATCCACCTTTGGATCGATAATTCATCAGATATCTGTCGAAAAGTTATCGAAATGAGTAATTGTTCCTCCGACCAATGAACACCCACTTGAAATGATTCACAAGGTCATTGGACCGCAGCCTTGTGATTCAGTCATTTATTGCACTGCACATTTGGTCGTTTTAAAAGTTCTAAATGAAGCAGCGAACAGTCCAGCCGAATTTCTCATCGAACTTCAGGAATGCCTCCTCATATTCTGATACTGAAGAGAGGTGTAATCATTATAGTGCTGAGAAATCTCAAACCAAAGAAGGGATTGTGAAACTTGATTTAAGTGATTCTAAAGGACCTTCATTGCAATTCATCACTGTAGAAATGATATCAGAATGCAATCCTGGTGACACTTTTTTCATCCCACGAATTGACTTGGCGTTAGCGACACTACTCTATCCTTCAATCTGCGGGATTGACGACATCCTATCATTCTGGCTTATGCAATTCAATCAACAAATCTCAAGGACAGACATTTTTGGACATCATTACAGTAACCTTGAACTTGGCATATCTATGTCCAGACCGTCAACAAACTGAGAACAGCATTATGTCAACTCCACCAAAGAGCTTGGCACATCATTATGTTCAGACCATCAAAGAGCTTGGCACATTATTATGTCCTGTCCGTCAAAGCATTGGGAGCATTATGTCAAGTCCAACAAAGATCTTGGCACATCATTATGTCCGGACCCCCAAAGAGCTTGGCATATTATTATGTCCAGTCCATCAAAGATCTTGGCACATCATTATGTCCGGACCCCCAAAGAGCTTGGCATATTATTATGTCCAGTCCATCAAAGATCTTGGCACATCATGATGCCCAGGCCATCAAAGAGATCGGCACATCATTATGTCTAGACCATCAAAGAGCTTGAAACATCATTATGTTTAGTCCATTGAAGAGCTTTGCACATCTATGTCTAAACCATCAACAAGCTTGGCACATCTTTATGTCCAGAGAATCAAAGAGCTTGGCACATCATTATGTCTAGTCTATTAAAGAGCTTGGCAAATCTATGTCCAGATCATCAACAAACTAGGCACATCGTTATTTCCAGACCATCAAAGAGCTTGGCACATCATTATGTCTAGACCATCAAAGAGCTTGGAACATTTATTTCCAGACCATCAACAACCTTGGAACATCATTATTTCCAGACCATCAAAGATCTTGGCACATAATTATGTCTAGTCCATAAAAGAGCTTAGCACATTATGACCAGTCCATCGCGTGCAGTTTTTTTTTTAAATGCCAGGTCTATCTTCAGATTTTTCACCTATTAAAAGGAACAAAAATCATAGAAATCCTTCTATCACTTCAGCTTTCTCGATTTCAACACACCTGCTCACCTCACTCGCCTGTCATTGTGTGACAGGAAATGTGTCAACCAGGATATCAAAATACAAAAGAAATTTTTTTGGTTACATAGAAGTGAACACTTTTTTGTACACATGAATAACAAGAAATCTAAATAAAATAAGATAAACATTATAATTTTTTATATTTGTTTTTGCACATTTATTCCTATTTGCAAAAAAAAAAAACTTTGCAAGTGATATATACGGAGCCGTAGAGCTTCAAGAAACATCTGGCAAACCCAACCTGGCACAATGTGTTTTAGTTTTCGTAATAAAATTGGGTCATTTTCATACTAGCTCAAGTAACTCATAATTTACTTAGGCCTTTTGTAAACATTGTGACCAAGGCAACCATTTCCATACTAGAATGATGCATTATGGGCTAATAATTAATTCTAAGGAAAAAAAAATAAAGACATGCATGCCACCGGTACTGTTAGTGATAAGGGGAATGACTCAAGTTGCTGATCTGTCGCAGGGTGTTAGGTCCATTTTTACCTCTTTTTTTTTTAAATCGTTTTTTGTGAAGTTTGATAATCATGTCGCAGAATGGGTTTTTGATTGGAGTTATCCATCATGAGCCACCATCCAAGATTGATGCCTGCCGTCTGTTAGATGAGCCAAATTCCAAGGTTGATGAGTGCCGTCTGTTAGATGAGCCACCATCCAAGATTGATGAGTGCCGCCTTTTTGATGGGCCACCATCCAAGATTGATGAGTGCCGTCTTTTTGATGGGCCACCATCCAAGATTGATGAGTGCCATCTGTTAGATGGGCCACCATCCAAGATTGATGAGTGCCGTCTGTTAGATGAGCAACCATCCAATTTTGATGGGTGCCGTCATTTAGATGAGGCACCATCCAAGATTGATGAGTGCTGTCTGTTAGAAGAGCCATCATCCAATGTTTATGAGTGCCATCTTTTAGATGAACCACGATCCAAGATTGAAGAGTGCCATCTCTTAGATGAGCCACCATCCAAGGTTGATGAGTGCCGTCTTTTAGATGGGCCACAATCCAATATTGATGAGTGCCGTCTGTTAGATGGGCCACCATCCAAGATTGATGAGTGCCGTCTTTTTGATGGGCCACCATCCAAGATTGATAAGTGCCATCTTTTTGATGGCCCGCCATCCAAGATTGATGAGTGCTGTCTGTTAGAAGAGCCATCCTCCAATGTTTATGATTGCCGTCTTTTAGATGAGCCACGATCCAAGATTGAAGAGTGCCGTCTCTTAGCTGAGCCACCATCCAAGATTGATGAGTGCTGTCTGTTAGCAGAGCCATCATCCACTTTTTATGAGTGCCGTCTTTTAGATGAGTCACCATCCAAGATTGATGAGTTCTGTCTGTTAGAAGAGCCATCATCCAATGTTGAAGCGTGCCGTCTCTTACATGAGCCACCCTCGAAGATTGATGCGTGCCGTCTCTTAGATGAGCCATCATCCCATGTTGATGCGTGCCGTCTACTCAGAGTGCCCGGTCTTTGAACCCATGCTCAAATGTTTGACACAAACAAAAGACTTGGCAGCTCACGCCAGTCTTAATCTACTGCTGAATATTTTAGACCAACGAAGAAGAAAATGTTTGTCAATCAATTAATTATAATTACAAGCGCGTCCATCATAAAATAACTGTCAATAAACACTGTCATTTAAAAAAAAAAGCGCCTGACAATTCATTTAGCACCCTGGCATGCCACCCCCTAACATCCCCTCCCCAAATTCTGCAGTCTAATCAAATCTAAGAAAACATATTTAAAAAAAAAATAACTAAGCACACAATTACGCCTTAAGAACAAGGAATAAAAACCACGTCAGATGTGGTAGGTGATGCCTGACAAAACAATCAAATGAATATGTTAACCCCTTCAAGTTCTGGTGATCAAACAAGGAGCCAATAATAACCATTATTTTCTTGTTTTTAAATGTCAACAATTTCTTTACGGGGTGAAGACTTAAATGTTTCACAATAAGTAAACGTTATATCTTTCATTTAAAAAAAAAATATATATAAAAAAGCGAATTTAAAAAAAAAAGTAATTGTACATTTATTTTATAATTATGTTTGATAAACGAGACCATCATTATTGGCTTAAAAGAAGTTTACCAATCAATTTGTATGTCGAGTGTGTCATTTTGTACACGGTAAAGTAATACAATGCAGTTTACTTTCAATGCGAGTACGTGCTTGTGACATAAATTACTAGTAGGCCAATTATAATGATGATTGTGTTTTCACCCTACTGGCACCCAATAAACTTATACATTTAATAATGATCATCTCATTTAACTTTAATTTGAATTCCAATTAGCCTATATAATGTTCTTATAGAGAAGATTTTAATATAAGGCACAAATCATTTTAAAAAACAAACAGATTTGTTCACTAAAAATTAATATCTAGTGTAGAATCAACAGGCAAGATTATCTATGTGAGTTGCTCTGGACTTATTTTGGTGACTAGTTCGTGACTTATTTATGATGGACCGGGCAGTCTCTATCAGCCCCTTGGACCAGATACTTCCGAGACGGCCAGTGGACCAGGTACTGCCCTTACGATCGGAGCAAGGGATTATCTCGGATGAGCTGCAACATTATCTGAGCCTCTACTTTGTAGGCATTTGGTGCTCACTTGTCTCCCTTGTTGGTTACGTCACCAACATCATCAACATAGTGGTTTTCATCAGGTGCTGTAAGACTTCGTATTTTAATTTTTAAAGTACAATTGAAATGTAAGATGTGGTAATTAAATAGCGGCATTCCAATAACGTCACATTGGAGATGGCGTCGGTGTGTCTTCGAGCGCGAGCCCATAATACCCCTCGGCACACCCCCAGACGGGCCGACGCCGGGTCTCCCGCCGGCAGACAGTGTGGAAGCATGCCGGGAACTTCGTCCCTGGCCCTGAAGGACATCCGGTNGGGGGGGGGGGGGGGGAAGGTGCTGCGATACCTCCCCCCATCGTCCAGGGAGTTGTCCGGTCGGGATGAAAACTGGGACGAAACGGTCGCCTAGGAGCGGCTTTCTCAGGGCCGCGTAGATAAAATCACCGGTATGGGTTTTAACCGCCACCCAGACCTCATATCCATTAACGGCAACAAGTAATCATGTCATTGCGTTACTTCCGTTGCGTTGGAAGTCATGCAAGTGGCCGGGTTTTTAGCTTCGGGAGAGGAGACCTCCCTACTGGTCAGGCACGCCACGAAGAGGTAAACCCCATGTGACACCTCTGAGTTGCCTCGGTGATGCGGGACTCTGACTTAGAGGCGTTCAGTCTCCGTCACCCCTGAATAGCGGCATTCAGAAGAGTCGAAAAGAGCGTTTGATCTGACTAAGATGTAACCAGCGCCAGATGGAGAATGTTGGAATGAGATGTGTGGATTTTATGTGCACACGTCTTTGTCCTATAACTTGTACCATTAGTTTTATTCTCAGTCCTACTTATATGAAGATGGCCAAGGCTATGGTCGAGGCTAAGAGCAGACTTGACTTGCACTGTATTTTGTTTTAAAGAAAGGAAAAATTGCGCAATTCCTCAGGCTCAGTTTCCCGTCTTTTCCTATTTTGATCCAATGGCAAGACTTGGTCAAGACGACTGGGAGATGAGCCCGGATCTAGTGGATGACCAAGGGCAAGACTTTGTCAAGACGACTGGGAGATGAGCCAGGGTCTAGTGGATGACCAATGGCAAGACTTGGTAAAGACGACTGGGAGATGAGCCCGGGTCTAGTGGATGACCAATGGCAAGACTTGGTCAAGACGACTGGGAGATGAGCCCGGATCTAGTGGATGACCAAGGGCAAGACTTGGTCAAGACGACTGGGAGATGAGCCCGGGTCTAGTGGATGACCAAGGGCAAGACTTTGTCAAGACGACTGGGAGATGATTCAGGATCCAGTGGATGACCAAAGGCAAGACTTGGTCAAGACGACTGGGAGATGAGCCAGGATCCAGTGGATGACCAATGGCAAGACTTGGTCAATAAAACTAGGAGCTGGGCCAGGGTCTAGTGCAGCGGTTCTCAGCCTGTGGGTCGCGACCCCTTTTGGGGTCGTGTGACCCTTTTCTAGGGGTCGCCTAAGACCATCTGAAAACACATATCCGTACAGCTATGAAGAAGCAACGAAAATAATTGTGTGGATTGGGGTCGCAACGACACGAGAAACGATATTAAAGGGTCGTGGCACGAGGAAGGTTGAGAACCACTGGTCTAGTGGATGACCAATGGCATGACTTTGTCAAGACGACTGGGAGATGGGCCAGGGTGAAGGGGATGACCACTGGCAAGACTTGGTCAAGACAACTGGGAGATGAGCCATGTTGCAGTGGATGATAGCAATGTTTCCTGAGTCTCACTGCGATCTTAATGGGTTCCACGTTGCAGTAGTTGTCGGAAATTTATTGGCTGTCTGGCTGTGCGGTCAAAACATGTCTATTCCAAAATTGTCGATTGTGTTCAATGCCCAGCAGAAACATCTCCAAAACTCCGAGAGGATGGAACTCGTTATCTAAGAGAACGCATCAACAGGATTCATTTCAATCAAGGGGGTCTCAAACTCGGGGACAATATTTTGCGGCCCGTTACATGACAGCAAAGTTTAGTTTTTACTCTTCTCATATCTATAATGTGACCCTCCACGACATTTTCAGTCGAATCTCACCGATTAGTCTAATTCTGATTTGAATTATGTTTGCATGCTTTTGGACGTTGATTATAATAGTAAAACCGGTATTAAAATCGGACTTATTTTTTTTAAATTTTATAGCATTAAATTTTATTAGACAAACATGACCAAGGTGCTTTTTGGAGAAAGATTTAAAAGTCAATTGGTGGGTAATGCACAACCAGAATTGTGTAAATCGTAGTAATCTGACACGGTATTAAAAAAATCCCTATTAAAATTGCCGCTAGTGTTTACGTGTGAGGGAAATTTCAAGCCTGTCAGCTTGATCACTTTCAAAATAGTGTTAGTCAAAAAGGTCTTTTCTACGACAAAAAAATCAGAATTCATTCTTAATACCTAAGGGACGGCACTCATCAATATTGGATGGTGGCTCATCTTCCTTGGCATCAATAATTCATAAATATTGTCTTCTCCTGCCTACCGCTTGACACATTTTAGCATTTAAAGCCTTAATGGATAAGGATGGGGTGGTTGTTCCTGTACTAAGTGATCCCAAATGGCTTATAAACTTGGCTTTTCTCGTTGACATCACACAGGAGCTGAATGTACTCAGTAAGAAGTAACAAGACCAGGGGTAGCTTGTCAGTGTTGCCTATGACAATGTCAGGGTATTCTGCACAAAACTTGTGTTATGGTTCTTAGAGAAACCTCTGCCGTTTCCCTACATCCAAAGTACTCACGGACTCGGGCACACCATTCAGTAGCAACTTAGTAGTAAGTATACTGATGCCATTGCAAAGCTACAGGAAGAAATTAATCACAGGTTTCAGACTTTAAAACACACTCAGCCACTTTTCAACTTTTCGCTGACCCTTTCTGGACAATTTAATGAGAGCATTGCCCTCCACCTTCCCTAAGATTCCTAGGTTGTTCAAGCGGATTATGTGCCCTTTTGGGGAGTAATCTGTGTGAAAAGCTCTTTTCTTCTTTGAACTTTAACAAGTCAAAGTTCAGGGCGAAAATTACTGATGAGGAATATTTGATGCGGCCCAGTCTCACTCAGATTCTACCTCCTGCGGCCCCCAGATGATTTGAGTTTGACACCTCTGATTAAATAAACCGTTGAACTTCAATCATACAAGCAACGGAAACTCTTCAAATACCACCACAATGTCCACAAGAAAGATCTCTAGCTGTCTCTGGTCTTGTAGATTTTGGCATGTGAATAAGCAGGAAGCAATGGTTCGGGAATGCCAAAAAAACACCATTAGAACATATCCAATTAAGAACATACCACGACGAGAACACCCAAACAACGAGAAAATACTTGTTGCCACAAGAAATAATCTAATTTGGAAAAGACTTCACACATAAATCTTCTTCTTATTATGATTATCATGGCCCGTAAGGAAAACAAAGTAGCTATATTAATTTAAGCATTGAAAAAACTCATAAAATTTGTCCTATCCTTGGAATGTTTTTGTTGACTTGCATTTACAAATAGTTTATAGTATAGCGGATAGCGTATAATTAAATGTGTGTTTACCAATTATGGCAATTGAACTAATTTCATCGGAACATTTCAGACAAGGCTTACTAGACAGTGCAACAATCTCACTTTTCTCACTATTCATTTCAGACAAGGCCTGCAAGACAGTACAACCATCTCACTATTCTCACTCTCCATTTCTGACTTGGGCTCAAACATTTGTACTTTCTTCCTCGGAATCTTCCTTGTCATCAAAGAGATGAACATTTTAGTGGAGGTAAGACTGACGCATCTTCAGGTCTCTGAGTGTTACATTCTCTTTGATGTCGCCAGAATTGTCAACATTTTCTCCAACCTCAGAACAATCTTTAGATTAAGTAATGTGCAATCTGTTGATTTCTATAGATTAAGTAATGTGCAATATGTTGATTGTATTAGATTAAGTAATGTGCAATTTGTTGATTTCTTTAGATTGAGTAAGGTGCAATATGTTAATTGTATTAGATTAAGTAATGTGCAATCTGTTGATTTCTTTAGATTAAGCAATGTGCAATCTGTTGATTTCTTTAGATAAATTAATGTGCAATCTGTTGATTTTTTTAGATTAAGTAATGTGAAATCTGTTAATTTCATTAGATTAAGTAATATGCAATCTGTTAATTAAATTTAGTATGATCAATTTAATCAGAGTAAATGCATGTAAAGAGCATGTTCTGGAACCAGCTCCCCTTCCATATCCGTCATTGTGAAACCTCGTCCATTTTCAAAAAGTCCCTTAAAACTCATCTGTTTAGGTCCGCCTATGACCTGTGATGCACCCTCCTTGCCCTGCCTCATTTTCTGTTTCGGGTTGATCCTGAAGTATAGGCCAAAACGTGCCAAAGTGTCCTCGTTTTATAGCCATTTTCATTGTTTCTATAGTATAGTAGTTACTATCAGTGTCTCATTTTTATTTTACTTAGTTTACATGTTTTTAATAATTGTAAAGCGCTTAGAGCTTTATGGTAAGCGCTATATAAAAATTCATAAATAAATAAATAAAAGCCAGTCCGAAACTGACAGCCAGTGATCAGGGATGTTGAATCTTTATTAATTAATTGATGTGACCTTTGTTTCTGTAAAAAATGTTCGACATTTAAACATACAAGTAAGGTAGTCATTAAAATTTTCTGAGCTTTATTATTTGGAAACTTGAGGATTTTCCATTTAAAAAAAAGCAAAAAACTTTCATTTAATGGAAGCAAACCAAATGCCATTCCCTTGATTATCTCCCCAGATTGTGGATTGGCAGGACCTGAGTTATGTCGCGTGCAGCTGGCCTAGGGCAATGTTCATTGACATTTCTATGCTCACAACTGTCTTCATCTCCACCGAGAGGTGTCTCTGTGTCATCCTGCCATTTAAGGTCAAAGGTGAACTGATTTTAAATATGGAACAGCCTCGATTCCAATATTTCATTAATGATTGGTCAGAATGGTATTGCTGTAAAGTTTACAGTGTAAACCTTGATAATTGGGAGACATTTTGTCAGGCTTGAACATTTCGATTATAAATAATTGGACTATAAATAATTGAAATAACTTTATAGCACCAGTTTTAGGGATGTTTTCTACACATTTTTATAATTCTCCCAAAAGTCTCATTAAAAAAAAATAATTGCCTTAGTTTTGAGATTTCTAGAAAAACATGCTTTAAGTGAATTGCATTTCTTAGATCTGTTTTTTTTTTTAATATGCTGGAAGTGAACCACACATTGTAAGCAGAGCAGAGTCACATTTTTTTAATATAAATAAAGGAAACTTATCACATCTAAACACACAAAAATCTCTAAAAAATAATTCAATCCCTTCTGGTTAGTTACAATTTTGAGCCATTGAAATAAATTAATTAGGTAATTATGAGTGTGGCTCGTTATTGCAATTTTTGTAATTAGACATTTTTGAAGTCCACCCAATATGTTGTTTAAACAATTTTCTACCTTTGCTACTAAACGACTGCAAAATGGCTTAACACTAATAATCTTATAAAAAGGTTTTATATTTACAGTCATAATAAAAGTTATACTATTATAAATGTAACGTTTTCTATTCCCAGGCCTTATTACAGCTTCCAGAGCCGCCAAGATATTGATCATCATTTACCTGTTCCAATTTTCCTGCTACATGCCCGTCTTTGTGACCAACGGGCTGTCATGGCAACCCACCATGATGTACACAACGAATCAATCCACAAGTAACCTGAGACTAGACATATGGTTCGCACCAGGTCGTGTCCAGATTGAGACCGTCAGTAACATATTTAACAGCATATCTATCCCAACCATCTCCTTTATCACTGTGGTAGCCTGTACGTACATCCTCATCCAAGCTTTAAGGCGATCTGCCCACTTTAGATCACAGGCTGCATCTTCTCATACCTCTGCTGGAGACACTTCCCAAAGGAACGCTTTGAAAGAGAGAAATTTGGAGAACGGAAGAGAAACAAGGCCAGCTGCAGGGCTAGAGTCTCACGAGTCCAAGGACAAAGCATATATTTTATCAAGCAAAGACAGAAAGGTGGGGAAGCTGGTGACTTTAGTGGCTGTGGTTTTTATCTTGTGCAGCATGCCCCAGTTGATGGTCGTTTATGGTAGAAGGTTTCTCCCTGACCTCGACGTAAATGGACGATATGAGAATTTCATGTGGACGGCGTTTGGGACTGGGTTCATCATCGGTGGTATCAATGCTTGCATCAATATGTTCATTTATCTCAATTCTAGCTCTAGGTATAAGACAGTGTTTAATGAGATCTTCTGTCACGGGGATACTTAAAGTAGTCCCTACATCTCAGCCTTTTTCCTCAAGTCTTATGAAAGAATGAAGTCGTCTCTACATCTCAGCCGTTTTCCTCAAGTCTTATGAAAAGATGATCTGTAATCTTCTTTGAAATTCAATTATTTGTTCTTACAGCTAGTAATAATCTACTGCATGCTTATCTATGATATCTCAATACAGAGGGCAAAGCTTAAATCTGAAGAACATGTTTAAATGTTTTGTACTCTGAAATTTGCTGTTTTTACATGTTTAAATTACCGATAAATGTTGCAATTCATTTCATTAAAAAGCACTTCGAGAAATAAATATTTTGTATTTGCTTCATGTTTATATCCTTTTAATATTTGAAAACACCCAATCAAAAGAAACACATTTACTTGTAAGGAATAAACACATTTAGACTTTTCCATAAGTATAATTTATTGCCGTTAATGTTTTCTTCCAAAAGTGGCTATGACAGGTTTATCTTTCAACTTGTATCCATTGACTAATTTTATGGCTTCTCCTGCTGTCACCTCGTCTGAGAAAGAAAGATTCACAAGAACATTATCAGGATAAGATAGGATTCTTTTATTGATCCAAATAAATGGAAGTGCTTTTTTGATAACATGGTCGATATTCATTTTTAGGGCAAAGATAAATATGGTTAAAAAGAAAATATTTTTAAACTAGAAAAATGTTGACACCAACATCTAAACATCTCTCAAGCGCAAAAATCAGCCATGATATATAAAAAAACTTCAATCAGTGAAAATATTTACTTAAAGAGTGATTGTTTAATTTGTAACAGCTGGTAGCATGGTGGTAAGTTCTAAAAGATTGGGAAACAAACAAATTTTTATATCATTCTGTTCTAATTTTGAGAAAAAGACATATTGTGGGCCATTTATTAAAAATTACAGAATCCACGCTTGAATATTAGAAGTTCCATCTAACGTGGAAAACTTTTGGATCATTAGTTATGGCTGGATATTGCTCTGTCGGAGTAGTTTTCAGCTCTCAAAAACGTTGTTTCAAGCTCCATAGAGAAGTTTGGTCAATGAGCCGGGAGAGGGGTGTATGCAATCAAAATACAAGTAGTGTCAGGAAATCCACTTGGCTGCTTGCATAAGATGACATAAAAAACACCCCAATTATTTATTTTTTATTAAAAAGATTTCAAACAAACGAATAAACTCATGAAACTCTTATTTTTTTGAAGTTCATCATAGTGCTGGAGTCTTAAGCTTAAAAACGGCAAAAACGGCCAAAGCGAACGGGTTAATAGGTTTGACATTACCTACATATGTGTATAATATCTACCTGGGAATGTTATGAAAGCTTGTCCCTTCATTCTTCCACTTAGGAGCTTGAATACAAGTTTGGATTTGTGCACAGATTGGAAACTACCAAACAATGACACCAGGTCTCTCTCTGTAACTTTGTTGTGTAAATTTTTCACATACACAATCTGTCAGAGAATCGAAGTAAAACTACAGAGTCAGCGTTTCAAAAAACATCAGATACTGTTTCTTCTGAAAGTAATTTTTCACATTTAATTTGTTTTCTAATAAACCTTATTTGCTGTAATTGCAGTGTTAGGAAAAAGAAAAGAATGAAACTAAAAATATTAAAATGGTTATTAAAATACTTGAATTTAGCAAGTATGCAAACTTCTCCTATGAGAATATAACAATATGCAAACTAAATCACCTTCTCACAGTGGCCGCGAAGTGCTAGATTTTAACATCATTTCTAATATAAAAAAACATTATATATATCCCTTGAACACACTTTTTATATAACCCTTGAACACACTTTTGAGAGGAGTTTCCAACCCAGTTAAAGTAGACAACACAATTAATATTTAGTAAGGGAGCACTGACCTAAAACATTGTCCATGAGCAAGGAAACAAAATATAAAATAATATCTACATTAATATTATTCACCTTAAATACATATTTTCTTCTAAAAAATAACTTGTAGAAATAATTAATTCATTTATTGTTCTAGTTTAAGCTCCACTGTTGAGCCTTTAAAGAGTTTTTTAATCAGGTCCTACTGATTTAGTAATGACTGAAAAATGCATGTTTACAGCACTTGAGATATACTATAACTACCTCAATTATAAATCAGGAAGCTATTCAACTAATCATTTTTCCTGATTTAATTTTTTTTGTTTTAAAATTTACATCTTAAAAATGTAAGTTTTTATTGGTGCATACAATAACAAACATAAAAATTTACCTTTTTTGGGTCTCCAACTGAATAATTCTGAAATTTGTCGATGGCTTTTATCTCATCAATTGTTAGCCTGTTATTTTCAATTTCTTCGCGAGTCAGAATCTGAACAGGAACTTCAATCTCTCTTAACATGTGTGTCCCATTATTTGTTCCTGTTTCATTAGGGTCAACAGTTTGAGTGAATTCATTGACTATCCTAGACCCTTTACATTCCTCAATAATGGAACAAGCCTCATTATGAGCATCTGTGACCTCATTATGAACATCTGTAACCTCATTTTGAGAAATGTCATTTGAACTTTTTGGAACCAAGCTGGAAACACTTTTCCTCCCTGCATCAATCAAATTTATATTATTTGCAACTGTTGTATCACTAATTATTAGCTGCGTGTCAGACTGTGATGGCAGTTCTGAGTTTGGAGGAGACATATCAACATGATGACTCGAGTCAGGAACATCACTGGATTCTTTTTCTTCTTCATCAGCTGAATTCAGCGAGGAATAATACTGCTGTCTTTTTTCTAGCTTCCTCCTTTTCCTCCTGTCCCTCCTTGGCTCTCTTTCTATTTTCCCATTGATCACATTCAAAATTTCTGGAATGTGATTTATGGGGTCATCTGGGTGGGAGTCAACAAATTTCTTCTCAGTTGTGATAATACTGGGAATTCCAGAATCTTGACGATATTTCTTGGTAATTGATCGATCCAGATCTCTATCTTGCCTACTCAGTTCTAGAGCCCCTTGAAACTTGTCTGGAATCTGTAATGATTTTTCTTTATCCACAATTTTTCTTTTAATCTCCGATAGCTTCTCAGCCTTGTAAGCTGGATCTGCTCCATATCGATGACCTGTTGTCTGTTAATACCAAGGGGACAAAAAAAAGGAGATTTTGATATTTGGCACCAGTCAAGTATTTCTGGCAATGTCTTCTAAGTTCACTATAACACAGCAGTACTATCAACTAAGAGTCATGCACACCAAATACTAGAAGCGGCAGCACTTCATAAAATAATACTCTTCAAATTGATTCTTGTTCCTGGCAAGACATTAATATTATATTGTACACAGCACCCGTCTCAGGGACTAACATCCTCTTAGGCAACGACAACTCAACATGAACTACCTTCCCTCGCCACACACACCTGAGCTACTGTACATTACTTAGAACTAAATGTGAACTCAATGTTTACCAAATCTCAACTCAAACAAACTGATGTGTACTGCCCAATCAATACTCGATTTCACACCTTATATTCACTCTTGTTTATCATGTTTTTCCTGTCAACCCATTAAAATTTAGCTACAGTAATACTCCTACCCGGCACAACCAACAGTAGCAAAACCTCACCCTACCAACAGTGATTTGTATACCCTTGACAGCAACAATGAAGCCTCTTAAATAAACAAGCCTTTTTTAAAAAAAAAATAATGTCAGAAACATGTTGAAATAATATAAAGGAACATGGAAACTTAATGTTACCTCAATTTTCATTTCCTCCTGTAACATAATTGTGATTTCCTCATCATCTAACCCACAGTGACGCAAGTAGTCAACTTTTGAATCCAAATCATTGACCACCTTGTAGTGTTCAAAGTTATGGATTCCAACCAACTTTTCAACTCCTGGGGCATGGGAAGTGGCAAGGGAAAATGATCTATGCTGAGAAAAATGGCTGAAAAAAAGAAAAAGAGAACAATTAGAATTCAAGAGATCAACAAAATTTTGTTTAAAGCTTTCCATAAAAGAAAAATAAATAATACATCTTTGAAAAATCAATATTTTTTTACAATACTTAAAAAATTTAAAAAAATGTGATTTGAAACTCTATACACTATATATTTAATAATAACAAATAAAAAATATATTTTAAATAAATGTTTAAATACAATTTATGTTGAAATAACAACAAAATTACAGCATCAGATTTAAATTACTTACTCAGCAAGAGTTATATCTTTTCTAACTTGACGCTGTAACAGAGTTTGCAAATGTCTCTCACTTGCTGTCTCCGTGCTGTCAATGCCATCTGATCCTTTGTTTTGGGATGATCCTTGTGGCATACGAACAACATCTCTGGTGTCATATCGCTTTGGATTCCCACTGAAAATAGATGATTTCTCAATAAATTATTATTAAAATTAGAATTTGATAATAATCTGTGAACTTGAATTGAATTTGAATTCAAATTAACTACTGACTTAAGTTTATGGCAATGCAAGTTAGTGCTTTAACTTTAAAATAAATATTTTAGAAATAAAATATTGACAGGGCCTACACTGCAATCTTTTGCGTTTACTTTAGTTTTCGGGGTGCAGTAGAAGTTTTGCATAAATTGCTAATTATTTGTTTCTATAATTATATTAAATAGTCATAGTTATAGTTCATCATTGATAGTATAACTAATGGTCATGACAAATACTGTTAATTATAGTAATAATAATAATAATAATAATAAGATGTCTTATATAACTCGGTACCCCAGCCTAGGGCTGTAGTAGTAAGGAAGTTAGTGCCTGTGGGGGGGGGGGGGGGGAGATTTTTGCTGTTGCTTCCATGAAAAAACTCTGTAGTTGGCTTTGCAATTTCTCAGACCGGAAAACGTCATAGCGTACTATTTTGGGAACGTCGGCGGACAAATATTGCTTTGAACATCGTTCGGACGATCCTTGTATCTAGAGTTACTGTTACATATGCCGTATGCGCAATGGAGTCCCATTTCACAAAATAGAAGTAAAAAAAATGTGTAAAATATTTTGTAAAATATAGTTGTAAACAAGTTTCAGGGACACTTCGCTAACATAGTAATACTGAGCAGTGTTGACATTTTGTCCGGCAAGAGTACCCGGATCATTACAGCAGTTCTAATAATAGATTTACGCCATTAAATGACAAACCCTGTTGGCCGAAAATTCCACCCCTCCATAATATTAATAAAGATAAGAGTGCCGCCTGGGGTGGAGCACCCCTCCTACGTTACTCTACTAACTCTACTGATAATGATTTAAATGAGAGTTGAGATTGAGGGAGTTTATGTTAGTTATTCATTCTCATTCATTCATTAATTTTTCAGTGAATCAGTGAATGAGGGATTACCCAGCCAAAGTCAAAGTCAGTCAAGCTTCATCATGAATATATATGATTTTAATGATTATTATATCTCTTCACAAACTATCACTAACGTCACGAAAAAAACCCACAAAAGTTTACCATGGCATTGTTGCTTGCACATTCTTTGAAATTTTATGATTCATTGTTAAAATAAAAAAATAAATAAACGAATTGGTAGCGTTTGTAGAATAGTAAACAATGAAGCTTATTTAGAAAGAAACTCTCTTATGTTTAGAGTTTTATTTTATATGTATAATAAAAATAAACTTATTCCGTTAGGAAATAATGAAATTTTCGTTAGTATAAATTTCATCGAAATATTTCTGTATTAAATAATTGTGGATAAAAGGGGCCAAAACATATTCAACCAATGACTTTAATTTTCTTTGTAACAATATTTCCTGGGTAAAGAAACGAAATTTTTTTTTTATGGAGGGGAAGGAACTGTGATTAAAGTATTAGCGATTTGATTACATTTATTTCCCCTGAAAATTTATTTTAAATTTTGTTTTATTGAAAACACTTTTTTTTAAATTTTTTTATTTTGGTGAAATCAAAAGGTTGGTTGGTTTGGGGGGGGGGGGAGTGTAAATTTAATGGCTTCCGAGTTAATAGATCATGTGAGACCCAGCTCCTTGAATACCTAGTTGCTAAACAGTCTGGTGGTGTTGACTACCTAGCTGCTAAAGAGATAAGGAGTAGGAGGCAGAAATGAGAAATCACGAGAAACCAGGCAGAGGGATTTTTGAGCTGGATTGACGAACTTGAGACAGCAGTTATGGCGACTGCCTGTAACGATGTCCTTGGCCGTCTCAACAGTACGGGGATAGCCTCCAAGGTCCTATAGTCAGTCTTAATACGGCAAATGGCCTGATGGCATCACTGGGTCGACACGGTTCTGTTAGCATCGGACAGATTTAACGTGTATGAGGAGATGGCAAACGAAAAGTTCCAACACGAAGAACACAAGGCGGAGCAACGCCGGGGCCGTTAGCGAAAGGGAATGCCTGATAAAAGAGCTGCAATCGATGCCGACCTCATTACAAGGGAATCGCTCAAAACTCAGGTGCATCTGGTCATGGTCCACAGTCTGTTAACTTAACTGGAAAAGCGTATCAAGGCATACGGCGAAATTTATAAGACATTCAGATTTTTCTAGGAGATAAATTCATTGAGAATTGAGCAGACCGAATTGAGCAGACAAAGCTAAGAATCTCGTTTTCTCTATCCAGATGACTTGGAAGACACACACCGGTGGCTGAGCTGACACACTGGCGGCTGAGCTGACACACTGTTGGCTGAGCTGACACACTAGTGGTTGAGTTTACAAACTGGTGGCTGAGCTGATACAGTTTGTTGTAGCTATGCGCACTCACAAACCGCTGACTGTTAACGAATCAGGAAAGCTGACCATGTTCTGGCTTCTGACAGTGATGAGATGTCTAAATGCATTTTAACTTTTCATCCACACGAACTTATGGCTCGCTATCTCGTTTTATAAACAGGTCCATTCTTAATGTAGACCAAGTCACAAATACAATTTTTGGCAGGTAGGTTGAAATGGCTAGATGAAAATTGATACAAATTTACCGCTTTAAATGGATCATTGAATGAATCATTAATTTAAAATTATGATTATTTGTTAACAAAAATTATTTTTCTTTAAATTTCATAAAAAGTAATCCTTAATAAAAAAAACCCTTTAAAACAAAGTTTGTCATTTAAATCTTTCTTTAAATTTCATAAAAAGTAATCCTTAATAAAAAAAACCCTTTAAAACAAAGTTTGTCATTTAAATCCGTCATAAAATGTAACATCCGGCAATGGGGGTTGGGGGGGGGGGGTGGGGCTGAAAATTTGACAAAACATGCGTACCGGTACAAGTAACGCACTTTAAGAATACCAATTAGTGCGCCACCCCACCCCAAGGCTCCCAAACGTAATTTTTTTTCCCCACGCCCCTGAACTATATTAATATTCTAATGACACACCCGGTTTTACACAGCACATGTATTTCACCAACTATTTCAGAAAAAAAAATATTATGCACCAAACTTGCGATACATATTTATAGATAGTCGATATATTTAAAGAATCTCATTTAGCACATTTTTGGGGGCATTTTATTTGGTGAATTCAGTGTCATAAAATTTACTTCCTTTTCCCCTTGAAAAACAGGAAGAACTTATTTATAGGTGTTGGGGCTGAAAATTTGACAGTAAGTATTGTCATCGGTAGCACGTTATGTTCCAAGTTTCAGCTCGACTGGTTGACTCGAAGTGACTCAATGAGCCTTCCGAAGATGTTGCCACCCAGTCAGCCACGGAGAAAAGTGAAGTTAATAGAAATGATCAAGAAATACGGCAAACGAATCCTCTGACATCTTTTCACGGACAAACCCCCTCCCCCCCCCCTTTTTTTTTCCCCCACACTTCCTAATGGGTTCCCTTGATCTAACTTTTAAATATGCCTGGGCACAGATGTTACCGAAATATCTGCATACTCTCTACTCCAGATTTGATACGATTGTTTTACGCTAACATAATTAGCACCCCCCCCCCCACACACACACAGACTACCACTCATACAATGTGTTCCTTGTTCTTCTTCACAGCAATAATTTTACTACATAAAATAAGGACATGACAGTACTTGACATCAATAATATGACAACATAAAATAACGACATGACAGTACTTGACAGCAATAATATGACAACATAAAATAACTACATGACAGAACTTTACAACAATAATATGACAACATAAAATAACTACATGACAGTACTTGATAGCTATAATATGACAACATAAAATAACTACATGACAGTACTTGACAGAAATAATATGACTTCATAAAATAACTACATGACAGTACTTGACAGCAATAATTTGACTACATAAAATAACTACATGACAGTACATAAATTTGCCCAAGAGATAAAATGCATAATAAAAAAAAAATTAATGACATAATGAGGTGGGTAGGTTGCAAGTACTTTTATTCCGGCTTACGAGTGGGGGAAATGCCAAGACCCTGACTTCATACAAGTCTCAGACATGATTCAATGCAAGTCTCATCAATTATTCCATACAAGTCTCATCAATTATTCCATGCAAATGTCTCAAATTATTCCATACAAGTCTCATCAATTATTCCATACAAATGCCACAACTAATTGCATACATGTCCCATCAGTTATTCCATACAAGTCCCATCAATTATTCCATAAAAGTATCATCAATTATTCCATACAAGTCCGATCAATCATTGCATACAAGTCTAATCAATTATTCCATCCAAATGCCACACATTATCCCATACAAGTCTCATCAATTATTCCATACAAATGACACAAATTATTCCATACAAGTCCCATCAATTATTCCATACAAGTCCCATCAATTATTCAATACAAGTCCCATCAATTATTCCATACAAGTCCCATCAATTATTCCATACAAGTCCCATCAATTATTCCATACAAGTCCCATCAATTATTCCATACAAGTCCCATCAATTATTCCATACAAGTCCCATCAATTATTCCATACAAGTCCCATCAATTATTCCATACAAGTCCCATCAATTATCCCATACAAGTCCCATCAACTATTCCATACAAGTCCCATCAATTATTGCATACAAGTCCCATCAATTATTCCATAAAAGTCCCATCAATTATTCCATACAAGCCCCATCAATTATTCATGCAAGTCCCATCAATTATTCTATTTCCAACAAGTTCCATCTATTATTCCATACAAGTCCCATCAATTATTCCATACAAGTCCCATCAATTATTCCAAACAAGTCCCATCAATTATTGCATACAAGTCCCATCAATTATTCCATACAAGTCCCATCAATTATTCTATTCCCAACAAGTATCATCTATTATTCCATACAAGTTCCATCAATTATTCCATACAAGTCCCATCAGAGGCGTAGCAAGGGGGCAGTGGGGGGGGGGGGACAGATGTCCCCGGGCGCCAGCTAGTTAGGGTCGCCAAAATGTGCTTTGATATTATTTTATTGATGAAAATAATGGGTTTGAGATTGGAAAAAAAGAAAAAAAAGTGAAGTTGTCTCCCACAACTTAATAACCACTGAAAAGCAATTTGACTTCCGGGACCAAAAGACAGTTGTAGCGGTTGGTCCCAAGACACGAACAACAGACGGACAAGCGGTTGTTGTATCCCCCCCCCCCACCTTTTCCACCATCCCCTCTCCCGTTTAGCTTTGAGACTATTTTGGTTATAGAAATAGTTCTGCCAGGCCAGAGACAATGACCGGTCGACAACTGATACGCTATCTATCGGGTCTCATTATTTAACAAAACTAACTTCCGTGTGGTAACTTGTTGCAGTGTAGTTATTTATTGTGGATACCTACTTAAGAATGACCTCCCAACATTTTTTTAAAACAAAGAGGTATTTGGGTTGTGAGACGTTTCTATGACCATTGTGAATATGTTAGACTTCTATGACCATTGTGAATATGTAAGACTTCTATGACCATTGTGATTGTGAATATGTAAGACGTTTCTATGACCATTGTGAATATGTAAGACTTTTCTATGACTATTGTTCATTGTGAATATTTATTTATTTATTTATTTAGGCATTTTTATATAGCGCTTATCATAAAGCTCTAAGCGCTTTACAATTATTAAAACATGTAAACTAAGTAAATACAAATGAGACACTAGGATAGTAACTACTATTCTATAGAAACAATGAAAATGGCTATAAAAAGAGGACACTTTGACACTTCAGGATTAAACCGAAACAGAAAATTAGGTAGGGCAAGGAGGAATATGCGAGACATTTTTATAATCTCTATATTGACAAAGGCTTAGCGTAAAGTAAATCTCTCAGAGCTTCAATGAAAAAAAAGTACATGACAATATTGATAAAAAAGATACGGATTTTGACTATTCTTAAGACGCACTCGTTCAGGACTAGATTCCTCTCATAGTCCAGCATATTTATATAAACCACAGAGATCGCAAAACCACGCACGTCTGCCTAATGGGCCAAATGTATGCGTCACGTCTATTAAAACCTGACCTGCCTATGTTAGAAACATTCCCGATCTAGGGTAAGCCCAAAGGGGCGACAGAAACGCAACCAGCTGACAGTCCGACGGCATTCAAACAAACCTTTCAAAGGGAGGGGAGTGTGGGTCGTGTTCGAGAGTTCTTAGGTCTACATGATCTTCTGTCGGCGAGCCCGCTTGTTACCAGATTAATTCATCGGAGTTATCTCGTGGTTTCTGCTTGACGGGCGACAAATATTTCACCGTGCGTGTTTTAAAATGATTGTACTATCGACAAGATGTGGCTAGTTTTCATTGATTGGATTTACAAGATTACGCCTTGTTCTCAAACA